TTATCACAGCAGAAAAGTAGGACAATGTATTTCTTTAAACTTTTGTTTTCTCTTTTCTTAAAATATACAGTTTACTTTCATCATCTGTTTCCAAGACATGGTGACTATTGGCCCATCTCAGTGGGCGTAAATACAAATACATGGAAGGTACCTTAGCCAGTGCATACATCCATCTAATGAAACATTGCAGTAATCCCACTGGGACCTATAACTTCTGCCACCAGGGGTTGGCCTGGCTTGCAGTACCAGATGTGTGTTCTCCCCAAGGAGTGGGCCTTAAATCCAATTGGAAATTTGTTGGTTATATATGTGCTAGTCAAGCCACTATTGCACCAGCTTGGCATGTAGATAGTACAGCACACAGGGTCTGTCATTAAGCAGAACTTTTAGGACCATTCTCCCCTAGTGATTCTGCATAGCACCTCCTGGCACTATGACCACCCACCATCTGGTGGCAGGGAGCTTCCAGCTTAGTCCCAGCCTGATTTTTCCTTTTCCTGTATGCACATCATGCATCGCCTTCAGCAATAGGGTCTTATCAGCTACTTCTGGAGTGCAACCAACATTAGTGGCAATAACCTTTATCATTTTGGGGGGCCTCCCTGGCCAACAGGTCATAGGAGGGCAACCCACCCCTGGTACTGGAATTTTCATTTAACATTTGTACAGTTTTGGGGGGCTCTATTTTTATTTTCATAAGATACCTGTTTACTCTGTGGCATCTGTAGACCCAGGCTGCTGTAGACTTTTCCCAAGCACCTTTGTGTATAGCACTTGTGCCTTACCCAACCATAAAGCTCCCAAGAATGTTACAGCTATACACTTTGTGAATTTATTTTCCATCCTTGTTTCTTCAGGTGTACTTGATATCTCTCAAATGGGTTCCACATCTGTAAAACACTCATACGTTACCACTATCTGCTAAATCAAACATGAACAAGGTGTCACTCTGCTTGGAAAGATTGTATTCATTTGTATCAATTGTTTTCTCAACAGATCCACATTGGGTACAATAGCGTGGACAAAGGGCATTAATTCAGTTAGCTCCTTACTATCTTTAGTCATTTTCTTGGAGCCATTTGATACCCTGGGGTTTTTACGTGGAGCCTCCCTGCATTTCTTTATCCTTGATAATTCATTGGGGCTGGCTCAGGCTGCCTGGCCCTGCACAGGGCCAAGGAAGAATAGGGTCCTCTTGCCCCTGCTGCACCTGTTGGTTCACTGGGCCAGGTAGGCCCTGGATCTGACTCCTGGCTGTAGCCACACCTGTTGTCTCTCCATTGACCATACCTGGCTGCTGTGGGAGGTCCTGTCTGGGCAAACTATCTCCACCCCTACCGTAACTTTTTGCAAGAGAAGAATGTACCCTGTTTAATCTGGTTATCTTCTGTCTGCCTTTTAAGGACTGTTCTCAGGTTTTAAAGCCTTCCAGAAGCTCCTTAGCACAGAATTTGACTTTTGTCGATTTTTATTTTATTTATTTATTTTTATTTTATGTGTATGCGTGTATTGCCTACACGTAGGTAAGTGTACCCATGTCGTGCAGTGCACACAGAGATCAGAAGAGGCTGTCAGATCCCCTGGGACTGGAGTTACAGACAGTTGTTAGCTGCCATGTGGGTGCTGGGATTCGAACCCGGGTCTTCTGCAAGAACAGCCAGTGTTCTTAACTGCAGAGCTATCTCTCCAGCCCCCTTGTCAATTTTTCTTTAGGAACTTCGCTTCAGCACAAATCTTGCCCATCTGTCTTCAAGCAACACAAACAGACCTGTCTTTTTTTGCTTCTAGGTTGCTCTACAATTTTACAGACACCTAAGTCACCTAGATCTGCCAAAGCCTCTCCTACTTCACAAAGACCCTGCCGCCACTAAAGCCCCATGCCAGTCTCAAGTCCCTGCTGAATCAAGTTCTTTAAATCTCTGGTCAACAGTCCTGTCTGACCCAGTGAACTGGGCATCACACATACTTTGCTTTCCTCGTACCTGGTTCTCTCAGTAGTGCCTGTCCCTTCTCTGTTGTCCTCCAGCCCCTGATTCCATGGGGACCTCCACTGGTGATGACCAAGTGTCTCTAATGGCTTGTATAAGCCATTCCATCGGGTACTGATGCCCCGTTAAAGCCTCAGGTTACACAGGCTGTGTCTCAGGAGGAACAGGTGGTTGTATTGCTCAGCTTTTCTGCTTCTGCAGCAAAGCACTTCAACTAATTCCATCAACTCCCATGTCCCACTAACTAATTCCATCAACTCCCATGTCCCACTAACTAATTCCATCAACTCCCATGTCCCACGTCCTCCCAAGTCAGGTGGTAAGGGGCTCCTTCATTGCTCTTTGAAGGTCTTCCCTAGTTCAACAGCTCCAATGCTGAGTGTTCTCTGATTGCCATAGTCCCCTGCACTGGACCATTGTTAAGACCTCCATCAGCATGCTGAAAGATGAATTTTCCCTTTCTTTGTATTAGGGTCCAACTTGAGGGGCATCTTCAGCTGTTTCGAGGTTGCTTCCTTCCTCATCACTAGCTGCCTTCTCCATGTTGTGGGGGAGGGGGTGTCCCAGGATGAGCCTTGTGTTACTGATCTAATCTGGACTCTCCTCTTGTCCCCAGCCCTAAAAAACAGCAGGCTAACACTTCTATCTCTCTTTTACCCAATTTTATCGACAGGGTCAAAGACCAATACCAAAGAGGCCAGCCTCATATCCCTCTGTCTCTAATTCCTCTTACACCTCAGTCTCCCTCTGGACTGCCACTTCCACCTGGAGCAGCAGATCTCTTATTTCACAAGGCAACAGCCAGGCCACCTCTGCCTCTGCTCGCTGATACTTCTGCCCTGGTGCCCTACTCCCAGGGTTTGTAAAGTTTGCTCTAGACCTTTTGCTGTCCGTAAAGTATCTCCATACTCACGTGGCGTACCCCAATACTCAAGCAGGCATGCCACTCCGTACCACCTACAAGAGAGCTGCCATCCCAGGATATCCCCATAGACATCAACAGCCTAGGCGGCTTCACCTTAGTTATGCATCTCACTGCCCACTGCACTATCCATGCCACTGCTGCTATTCTACCAGCTCTATGGGAATACCCGCCATGTCAGAATCTCCCCTGTGAGCACTCTCTCCTCGTCCAACTTTGCTTCAGTTGTTGGTCTCCTTCCCCATATCAAAGACAACACAATTGCTCTTGCCAAATTCATCCTTGGTTTTGTCGGATCCTGGTCAACTGCAGCAATTGTAACTAAATTTCCTTCTGGGAGGCGCAAGCTGCAGTTTGGAAAATCAGTGAGTTTATTTGGACTTACTTAGCGGTGTGTGAGAGGTTACTTACAAGAGTGTGGGTACACTCCCCCCGCCCTGCCCCCCAGCCAAGACTCACTGGAAAGTCTCCTTCCAGGTGTCGGGGTGACGTCCCAGCAGCTATGTAAAATGGTGACAGAGTCTCCCTAGGCGCGTCCTCGGTTTAGGTACCCTTAATCCCTCCCCCTTGTGCACCTAGGGCCAACTGGTTGGTTGGGAGGCCATGACTGACTCTTCCTGACCCTCCTTGGAGGGTCAACCGTGAACAAGTTTTGATGAGCCTAAGCCAGTTGATGCAACCAAGCTTTCAAAGAGGAGTTTGTGCATAGCTTGACATTCAGGGGACAGTCCTATGCCACACCCTCCGTGCCTTCAAGAATAACATGGACTAGGGGCTGGGGAGATGGCTTAGTGGTTAAGAGCACTTGCTCTGCAATCATAAGGACCAGAGTTCAGATCCCAGCACCCCTTTTACAAGCCACGTGACCAGAAAACACCAGTAACTCAGTATCTGAGGTATCCAGCACCATCTTCCCAACTCCAAGCAGGCACAGGCACGTATACTCACGCACACACGTGCACATGAACCCACACAGATGAACACACACACACATACAACAACTAAAAATATAAATAAAAAAATAACGTGGGGGGCTGGAGAGATGGCTCAGTGGTTAAGAGCATTGGCTGCTCTTGCAAAGCACCCAGGTTTGGTTCCCAACACTCACATAGCAGCTAATAACCATCTGTAACTTCAGTTTCAGGGGATCCAATGCCCTCTTCTGACCTCTAAGGGCCTTGCTCTCATGGGCTCACTTATACACATAAAATTTTTTTAAAAAGAACAAAGTGGACTAGGTTTTGATCTAAGAAAATGTATATAGTACTGTTGTCTGCAGAAGCATCTATCCAAGAATGTGGTTCATGTAGCCGCCTCCCTAATCCCTTAAGAAGAGTAGCGCTCTGCTCACTGAGAGTTAGCAGGCTTCTGGCACTTGGCTCACTAAGAGTTAATATGCTTCTTTGGGCTTTGCTGATACAGAGGCTTGAGGGAGGGGAGACTCTGCTCCCCAGATGCTGGGACTGAGAAGAGCTGTTTCTGGAATGCTGGGACCAACAGTCACATCTCACCCTGCTTGTGTGCATATCGGAGGAGGCCTGTTACTGGGCCAGTCTCCCGGCCTTGGGAAGGCTGTGCTGTTTCTTACTATAGTGATGGGAAATTCCCATGTGTTTTGCAGTGCTTGAGCACTTACCATACGTAAACTGATCTTCCAACACTGCACTTCATAAATAGAAGCTGCTCAAGAGGGCAGTAAAAAATGCTCCTAGTGACATGAGCCTGGCGACTCCTGGTCTGAATTTCAGATTTTCGGCACCAGTCATAGCGGGACATCTACAGGGTCATTCTTGGGAGCAGTGGTGGTCAGCTGTGGTTCAGTAACTTTGGTGCACAGCAGTTTGGGCTTCTGGTTGGATTTTCGGGCTGGGAGGATGTGGGACTCTTCCTCAGAGTGCACTGCAACATTTCTGTTCCCAGGTCCTAGCCTCACAGGTCATGTTACATGCATGAAATGATGACTCAATGGAGGTATGGGAAGGCAGTCAGGTGTGGAAAGGCAGGTGTGGACTAGAGAGATTTGTGACTCTCTCTCTCTTTCTCTCTCTCTCCCTCCCCCCTCCCTCTCTCTCTCCCTCTCTCTGTTGCAGCCTCCCAAGGTGAAATGCTTGACTAAAATCTGGCACCCCAACATCACAGAAGCAGGAGAAATATGTCTAAGGTGAGTGTCCTTCTGCACATGTCCCAGCTTCTTCACAGACTCCTTCCTCTGAGAGCAGGTCTGGATGAACTAAAGCAGCTGCGCACAGAAAGCATTGTTCTCTGCCTGCTGTGGCCAAGGCCCTGCTGGAACTCCCTGTGGGGCATGCTGCTAGGACCCTTGCCTTTTTTCTCCACTTTTAATGAGAAAGCACAGTCCCAGCTTAGGGCTGATTTTAGTTAACAAGGTTGGGGTGGGTTTAGTGAAGCCCAGGAGAGAAAGACACCCAGCAGCTGGGAGCAGGCAGCTTCCCTGTGTCAGCTCTAGCCTGGTGTCCTACTTGGCACCAAGTCAAGGCTTAGCAGTTCCCTCCCTCAGAGGTTGCTGGTCTCTAAGGTAAGGAACTAGAGAAAATAAAGGGAAGCTGTTGCATCATTGTTGTTGTTTTCATTGTTTTTTGTTGTTGTTTTTTCAGTCTTTTTGAGACAGGGTCTCCCTTTAGCCCCAGCTGTCCTGGAACTCACTATGTAGACCAGGCTGGCCTTGAACTCACAGAGATCCATCTGCCTCTGCCTCTGCCTCCAGAGTGCTGGGATTACAGGCGTGTGCCACCATGCCCAGCTTTTGTTTTCGTTTTTTGAGACAGAGTCTCCATGTAACCCCAGCTGGCCTGGAACTTGCTGTGTAGACCAGACTGGCCTGGATCCCATAAGGATCCATCTTGCCTCTGCTCTGCTGAGGTCAAAGGCGCACACCACCATGCCCTGCTTGGAGCTTCTTTTTAAAGTGAACTTCAGGTTTCTGCTCTGCTTTCCTATTTTGTCCCTCTTTCTGGTAAGTCAGGGATGTTAATGGTGGGGCTTGGGTCTGGACCAGCTTCATTTGATGTACATCTCCTCAGTCCAGAGGACATGGGTAGACTCTGGAAGCACTGCCCTTACTTCAGCTACCCTGGGAAGCATCACAAACATGCTTCTCTAGTGTTCACTGTGGACTTGAGATCTGAGGCTGTTCTTAGGGGGCTTCCCTGTCTCCTATCTTCCCAGTAAGCATTAACCACTCTGTAAGGAAATTCGTGCTGTGCTGCTCGAAACTGCTGGGGCGTCTGCATATTGAGTTCCAGGCTGTCTGGGGCTGCAGGGAGACCCTGTCTCAAATAAGACATAAAAAACAAAATTGATAGAGAAAATCCCTAGACTGTTAACCCTTACATGTAAGTAGCCATTCTTTTTGAAAAGGCTAGGTATTGATAGAGACAAAGGAGACCTCTGGCCACATGAGGGTCATTCACAGGACTGAGGCAATCTTACTGATGCTCAGCATTACTGGCAAAGTACAGGAATACCATGGAGTATAGTGGTTTGCTGCTTGCCAGATTGATGTGTGTAAGAGAGAAGACTAGAGTTGGCCTTGGCATTAGAGACTGCCAGTTTTGCACTTTTGTTGCTCATTAGCTATACGATGTACGATTAACTTGTATTTTCCCTTGGATTTATCAGCCAATGGTTTATTTATCACTCCTAAGCTCTTAACCTCAGGAAATAATGTGGCAGAGCAATTCCTGTGCGGTGAGCATCTTGATCCTGAAAAGGAGATGGCACAACAGCTGTGACTTGATGCTCAGCTCGTCGTGGCAACTCCTGTGTAAAGGCATAGAAAAGCCCAGTCCTGCGTCTGCAGGGCACTATCGAGGTTCTTCCTGCAGCAGAGCTAACGGGGGGCGGGGGGGCCCTGGTGCTCACCCCCTTACATCTGCCCAGGTGCACATTTCTCTTGAGAAGTGTGCCTGTCCTCTGCCTTGCCATCCTTTATGTCGACCTCCAGGCTGCCTGGTGTTATAGGAGCCTTCGTCTGCTTCTGTACGTGACTCTGGTAGCCCTTAGCCTTTCTCCTATGGAGTTTAAGCTTGGGAGCTCTACTATAGGACCATACTAGGATATAGTGCCTAGGGTGCCCTTCGTCCCCATGCTTAGTAGTAACCTCTTGATGACTACACATCTCTGTTACATGGCCTCCTTCTGAGACTAGGCTCTGATAGACTAGAACATCTACAGTGACTAGGAGAGTCACACCCATGACTGCCTCACTCCTGCAGCCAAACCTGTGGCTTCCAGATGTCAGGCTCAGCTTCCCTGTAGCTCTTGCTCCCTACTTAACTGCTTCCAGCTGTGAAGCCTTCCTGTTGATGGTGAAGCTAGAAAGACACTTGACAGATGAGCTAATGAACCTGAGGGTCTTCCTCTCCTCCCATTCGTCCTGCCCAGGCAAGTAGTGAGCATTGTATTCCTGTTTTCATGTGGCTTGCTGTCCGGTACGGTAGGTGAGATAAGAAAACAAGCCAGTGTATATCTGAAGATTGCTCTGGAGTCCCTAGAAGGAAAGAACAAGCCCTCTTCTCCAGCCTAGGGACAGAATCTTTGAATCGTACCAGGATTTAACAGATGTTTCCCAAAGAAGCTGTTAAACATTTGTAGAAGGTTCAGATCCACTTAAAATCAGATTGATTTATACCTTTATGGGTAGAAGATGTCGGCCTGGTCACTAGGGCCCATGATTTGAGTTTCCTTCTTTAAGGCTCAAGCTGTACCTCAGCACTCTAAGTTTGGTTATATTTTTTCTTCCTTTTTTTATTGAATTTTTTCAAATTTCATACAATATATTTTGATCATTTAGACCTTCCCCTATTTGTACCCCTCTTATAGCTATATTTTTTTACTATCCTTCAAAGACAATATTATAATTTGATTCAAATTATTTTTTTTCTCATGATCTAAATTAGTAGCTTTGAACATACTTTAGTTCATAAAGTTTGTCACAAGTTACAATTGGTTATGGTCTATAAAAGCCTGATACTGACATTATTTTAGGAACTTCTAGTATAGGTCAAAACTATAGCAAATGCAATAATTCATGCATACGAAAGTAACTTTATCTCCAGAAGGAAACAACATAAGTTGGAATAATTGTTTGTGGCAGAGGACATAATGTGATGAACATACTCTCGGGCACCAGCTTAAGGCCCGGACCTCCCCTATGAGGTGACTGCTCTCCAGGATTTTATGTTCATCTGCGTCAACTTTACTTTTTAGGTTTTTTTGTTTGTTTGTTTGTTTGGTCTTTTTTGAGACAGGGTCTCCCTGTAGCCCCAGCTGGCCTCACACTCACTCTGTAGACCAGGTTGGCATTGAATTCACAGAGGTCCTCCTGCCTCTGCCTCCTGAGTACCTGTGCCACCACACCCAGCTTTCCTTTTAAATTTTTTTAAAAACAGTAGTCACATTGCGAACTTCCTCACAGCAGTTCAGAGCTCAGGCATCGCCACTTACCAGGGCTTCCTTGGGCAAATCTTTTCTCTGAGACAGGGAAATTGGTGGCACTTCCTTCAAGGTAGAGCAGTTGGTGCTGCTGTAGGCATCAAGTGAGTTTAGTAACATGGTGCTCAGGACAGTGACAGGCACAGGAATGATGAGCTTCCACCCTCAGCCATTCCTGACATAATCATTTGTTATTGTCACCCTTTTCTGGGCATTAAACAGCTTTTCTTCTGTGTATGTTGTTTTAAGAATGCCTTTCCATGACTGTGTTGTGCAAACCTATAACCCCAACACTCAGGAGGCAGAGGTAAGGAGAATTGCCGCAGTTTTAGCCTTGTGTACATAGCAAGTTCCAGACCAGGCAGAGTTATTTACTGAGACCCTATCTCAAACAAGAAAAGTCTCACAAGACATCTGAACAGTGGCTTGCTCTGGAGGTGAAGGCTGTCTTCGGCAAGACAGAGAGACAGAGAAGCCACAGAAGAACAGACAGGTTTCAGTTGGGTGTAGTGGTGCACACCTTGAGTCCCAGCACTCAGGACACAGAGGCAGGAGGATCTCTGTGACATCAAGGCCAGCCTGGTCTACATGGTGAGTTCTAGGCCAGCTGGAGCTACAGGGAGACGCTGTCTCAAAAAGACCAAAAAAGGTTTCATAAATGTAGCTCATTCCTGTGTTGTAAATAAAGACCAAACATTCTATTTAGACTCACCAGTAGTGTTCGAGACTCACCTGCATCTCAGGTGATTGCAGGTGGCTCCTTCTTAACACTGCATTTCTGTGTCTGTTTCAGTTTACTAAGAGAACATTCAATTGATGGCACTGGCTGGGCTCCCACTAGAACATTAAAGGTAAGAGTCAGCACCGTTGAGTTAGCAGCCCTCCCCTATAGCCCTCTCTGAGGCAACCAGCTTCTTAGAAGAAGTACATCCCATGCTCCTCCCTCCCACATACCTCCTGGCACTGCTCAGTCAGGTATTGCCCAGTTTTTGTCCTTGTTGGCCAGCACCATGTACCATTTAAGAACAAAATTGTCAGCCACAAGGAATCCCCATCGTCTTCATTCAAGAAGGAGATCTTGAGTCCTCTGGTTTGAAAGGGAGCTGCAAAGTGATATGTAGATTACTTCCTTTGGCCAGAAGGACTGTCGGGTGATGGGTAGTTTGTTATTGAATGGGCACCATGGGGAGAAGAGTGCAGGGAAGTTTAACTCTGGGCCAGTATCAGGGAATACACAGCCTTCATGCATTTGTGACCTGGTCTTCCCGGACTGTGGTCTCTTGACACATGGACAGCCCAGCCTTCCATCCAGCCTTTCCCCAGGTCCTCAACCTGTCCTGTCCTCAGGACTTAACCTCTGCTAGACTGTTTTGCCTTTGTGTATATTAGTGTGTCACGTGTGTGCATTGTTTGCAGAGGTCAAAATAACCATCTGTAACTCTAGTCCCAGGGGATCCGACACATTCTTCTCACCTCAGACACTGCACGCATGACACGGGTTTGGTCACATGCATACAGGCAGTACACTCATACACATAAAATAAGTAAAATATTAAAAAAAGAGCTGAGCTGGGTGTGGTGGCGCACGCCTTTAATCCCAGCACTCAGGAGGCAGAGGCAGGCGGATCTCTGTGAGTTCAAGGCCAGCCTGGTCTACATAGTGAGTTCCAGGACAGCTGGGGCTACAGGTCTAGAAAAAAAAAAAAACTGGAACTGGAGTAACAGATGGTTGTCAGCCACCATGTAGGTGCTGGGAACCGAACCCAGGTCCTCTGCAAGAGCAGCCAGTGCTCTTAAGCTCTGAGCATTTCTCCAGCCCCAGATTGTGTTTTAAAGATGAATTTCAGAAGTCTGGAGGTCTGTGGACAGCAGTGAGGTGAGGAGGGTGGAGCCCAAGCACCTGTGCCAGCCATTGGGCTCATCATCCCTGGTCTCAAGGAGGCAGCTGATGGTCCCTTTGATTTTATATTCTCTCTAATGAATATGTGGAAAAGTGTTTTTATTTTCCGTGTTAAGAAAAATGTGTGCTAGGAACAGATTTTTTATATCCTATTGTGTGTATTTCTTAGTTCCGAGTTGAAAAGACTACCGTAGGAGCCCTAAAATTGTTTTCTTTCTGGTTTCAGGATGTTGTTTGGGGATTAAACTCTTTATTTACTGTAAGTATCCAAATCAGAACCCCAACTTTTCCTTGGTTTCCTGGCCGCTGGTTTGAAACACCACTGTAAAGATGACACAGGGAATTCCAGCAACCCTTCTTTTCTCTTGCTTTTTTATGACCAGAAGTTGTACCATGACACAGGTCTAGGGGACTTTGGAGTGACAGGAGGAGGTAGGACCCACTTCTGTGCTGAACTAGCTGTCATCTGGGCACTGCATTCTTTTTTTCTTCTTTTTGTAAGATCTTCTTTTTCTAATATTTATTATTTTATGTATATGAGTGTATTGCCTGTATGTATGTGAGTGCACCCGTGTTGTGCAGTGCCGCAGAGGTCAGAAGAGGGCTTCAGATTGCCCTGAAACTGGACAGTTCTTAGCTGCCATGTGGGTGCTGGGAATTGAACCCGGGTCCTCTGCAAGAGCAGTCAGTGCTCTTAACCACTGAGCCATTGCTCCAGCCCCTTCTTCACTGTTTTTAATCTTCAGCTAAAGGAAAAGCAGCAGAACTCCACTCTAGACTGTGAGGCCCTGCCTGGTGTTACTGGGCACACTTACATGCATCTCAGGCTCTCCCCACCCCCTCTGAAGGCCCCCCAGCACCCCGGACCTGGACCCCATGTTCAGTTGACTTTGCACTGTGCTCATTCCTTTTCTGGGCCCAGCATCTGTGGTGAAGTGAAAGAAGTGTTAGCGTTGGAGCCCTAGAGGCTGAACGTGCTTCAGAATCTGCCCGGCAGTTGAGCTTCAATGTCCTGTGGAGCCTTTGCATCTCCAGTTTGACTAGCCAGTCAGGACGGGTCTTCAGGCTTCCCGCTGCCATTCACAGCCCCCAGTGCCTTTTACAGACGCATCCTGTCTGCACAGGACTTGACTGGCAGCCTGCTACTAGGGAATTAATGGAAAGAAGTAACACTGGCTCCTTGGGCTTTTTTTTTTTCCCACTTAGTTTATAAAATCATGGGTTTCATTATAACGTTTTCTTTTGATTTTTAAGACAGGATTTCACTCTGTAGGGCTTGACTGGCCTAGAACTCACTATGTAGCCCAGACAAACCTTGAACTTACAGCATTCTTTCCTGCTTCAATCCTCCGTGTGTTGGAATCATAGGCATGTGCTCAGTTCACCACACTTGTCATTTTCACACAAACACGTTACTCTGTTTTTCTGACATTCACCGCCATGGCCCCTCCCATGCACTGGTCCTCTTCCTTCTCCCTGATGTCACCCTTCTGTTCTCATACCGTGTGTGTGTGTGTGTGTGTGTGTGTGTGTGTGTCCCCATCCACATCCAGATTCCACATAAGGAGGAAACCTGTGATGTGTGTCTGTCTCCCCCCTGCTTTGGACTCTTTATATGTGCCCTGAGGCAGGTGTGTCAAACATTAAATAAATTAAGAGGGAAACGAATGTTTTTCAACTAGAGAGCCAGTGAGATAACTCGGTGGGTAAATGCCCTTGCCTGGTGACCTGAGTCAGATTCCTTGGAACCCACCATTTCCTGAAAGTTGTCCTCTGACATATGCACAGTGTAGCACACACATGTATATACTCTCACACACAATAATAATAAATTATGGATTATTTTTTAAGTATGGGGTGGGGGAGGTGCGGAGAATGGAACTAGAGATGCTCTGTCATGCATGCCAGGAAGCATGAGGACCTGAGCTTGATCCCCAGAACTGATGTAAAGCATGCCAGACAGAGTGTGTACTTGTGATGCCATCACTGGAGAGGTGGAGGAGAGGTGGAGGCTGGTGGATCCCTGGCCTTGCTGACCAGACAGCCTAGCCTGATCAGTTCCAGGTCCCAGTAAGAGACCTGTGTCAAGGAAATAAGGTGGAAGGCTGCTGATGAATGACACCTGAGATTGACCTCTGACCTGGTATGCACACATGCACATACATACACACATGAACCTGCACATGTGTGCACATGCACAAAGAATGACATTTCTATTTGATGGTGGTCATGGTAAAAAGTCACCAGAAGAGCGTCAAATCAGTGTGGTCGGTCTCCGCCATCTCTCTGGAGGAGTACATGGAGCCACACCCTTGACTGCACCATTGTATGCTCAGCTCCCCCTGAAGGCATTAGAGTTCTTAGCAGAGCTCTCCCACTCTCTGGGTGGGTCTGCCGTTCACTAAGTACAGTTCTGAGACTGAAGTGGAGACCTACTACAGAAGAAATCGGATTCTTCCCAGTGCTCACTTTTGAAATTCTTTTTAAGGACCTTCTGAATTTTGATGACCCACTGAATATTGAGGCTGCAGAACATCATCTGCGAGACAAGGTGAGCGGCACGGCTCGCAGGCTCTGGGCAGGTGCCTGTGGTAAAACGTAGTTAGGACTCCAGACCTTGAAAGTAGGAAGTTGAGAGTGGTGGAAGGCAAGACCAGACTTTGAAGCAGTTTACATATGACGTGCTGCAGTAAATGTGTGTGCTCTTAGGTAAGTGGTTTACTCACAGTCAGAACCTGTTTCTATTAGAGGGAATTCCACAATGTCATTTTGTATAATCTAACAAGCAATTATTCCTCACCAGCAGTACCGGAGGGCTGGAAACGTAACTGCGGTAGAGCACCTGCTTAGCAGTGTGGAAGGCCCTGGGTTCCATCCCCAGCACTACAAAAACAAAAAACGTTACACCTATTCAAAAACGCAGAACCGGGGGTCTGGAGAGATGGCTCAGGGGTTAAGAGCACTGACTGCTCTTGCAGAGGACCCAGGTTTCAATTCCCAGCACCCACACGACGGCTATGAACCTTCCTTAACTCCAGTTCCAGGGGAACCTGAAGCCCTCTTCTGACCTCCACGGCATTGCACGACACAGGTGCACTCACATACATGCAGGCAATACACTCATACACAGAAAATAAAAATAATTAAAGAAAAAAAACCACGCAGAAGGGAAGTGGAGAGCATCCAGCGGCCTGTGTCCTCCCACAGCCTGCGCTATGCATTTGGTTTGACATTTACCCCAAATCTAGGATCCCGTTCATAGTCTTTATTATTTCTTTTTTCTTCCCTATTAGTTCATAAACTATCTCTCATTAGTCATTTCTTTGTGAGTATTCAGGCTTTTCCCATCAAATTTTTTTTCCCAGTTAAAAGCAGTAATTCAGGGGCTGGAGAGATGGTTCAGTGGTTAAGAACACTGGTTGTTCTTGCAGAAGATTCGGGTTCAAATCCCAGCACCCACATGGCAGCTAACAGCTGTCCGTAACTCCAGTTCCAGGGGATCCGACAGCCTCTTCTGCCCTCCACAGTCATTGTACAACATGGGTGCACTTACCTACATGCAGGCAATACACACGTAGATATAAAATAAAAATAATAAAAAAATTAAAAAGACAGAACAAAGGAGTAATTCAGTAACTATCCCATACACCTGCATTTTAAAATACTGGTGCTTGATTTAGTCCTAGGGCTGGGTTACTGTATCCAAGGTGGTGACTGTCCATAACTTGGTTGACAGGCAGGTTGTTTATCTGTGAGGCCAGTAGGGCCCATGCCTGTGTTAGTGTAGGCCAGTGTTTCCCCTGCACACTGCCTGGGAGAGGACTGCTCCCCTTTGGTTTTGCACCTCTTAATTGTTTACTCTTTTTTTAAAGCCATTCTCATAGATTGTTTGGATTTTTTTTTTTAATTTGATCTGAAACCAGGCGTGGTAGTGCACACCTTTATTCCCAGCACTCAGAAGGCAGAGGCAGATGGATCTCTGTAAGATAGAGGCCAGCCTGGTCTATCTGCTGAGGGTCTGAGCTATGGTTAGTCACTTGTACATATACAGGGCAGAGCTCTTTGTCACTACTCTGCACTCTGACTCTGTCTACCCTGCTTCAGGTGGGTGTGAGGTGCTCCTGATGAAAATAAATGTCCAAGCCCCCTGAGAAGGAGGCAGCATAAGGGTATCAGGCTGGTAGAGTTACCGTCACTGAGTGTGGCTGCAGTGTGGGTCCTAATGGTACTGTGAACAGGAGCATCAGCCTCAGGAAGGACGAGGCAGGGAAAGCATCAGGAATGGTTTGGCAGCAGCATCTCCTCCAGCGGCAGTGAGCAGCCCTGTGTGTGTGAGTCCTAGATCCTGGGTGGCCAGGGCTGAGATGGCTCAAGTTTTTCAGCCTTCGCAGGGTATGTGCACTTGGGAACTCTGAGGGAATGTGGTGGGAGAGCCTTGTGTGGCATTTCCTAACCGTTTGCCGTGACCACACTGCTGGTAGTCCATCACCTGACACTGTTGGCCTGGCTGGCATAGTGTCTGGGTAAGCAGGGCAGGCCATCTGTGGAAGCCAGTGTTCTGTGGAGGAGGCCGAGCTCACTAGTGAGAACCAGGCAATAGAGCCCCTCGAGAACTGTTTGTGGGTGAGGCAGCCCTGCCTGTGGGCTTCATTTGAGCCGTTTCCATGGCTCCTGGCACCGACAGTCAGCCCCACGTGTGCAGGAGTGGTCTTGATGGGAGTTGTCTACAAAGCTTCAGGTTTCTGTCCTTTCCTGGGACGCCTCTCATGGGTGTGTGCTCGCTGCCTACTTTTCAGGGACTCCTCATGGTGTCACTCCTCTGCTGTCCTTGCACAGGCATGGACATCCCCATGTAGCTGTTAGGAACTAGACCTTGTTAGAGACAGAGTGAGAATAACGGGACACTCTGGCAGGTCTGAGTGGAGAAAGATTCTACAGGTGTTTCTGGTCTTATTTTCTTTGTATGAAACAAAAGGAATACGGCCATAAACTTTTTAGCCCCGATAAAATGGACCTAAAATCTACCAATTACTAATGTTTCCACATGAATTCTTGGAAGACCCCAACTCACCCACATCTTCATGCTGAGCAGTGATCAGTTTTGAACTTCCCACTCCTTGTATTTTGTGTCCATTCCTTCACAAGATTGACTGGTGGTCTTTCCTTTGCCAGGTGGTGCTAGGAGCTTGAGGGGACTGTGGAAATGCCAGTCCCTGTCCTCGTCAGTGTATATCCTAGTGGAAGGAACTGAGGCACAGATGAACACATCTCATGTTAGGGAGTGTGGGGCAGAGGGAATGTCTACAGCCGGTGTAAAGGTCCTGAGCATGGAATGCCTGGGGAAGGAAAGGCAAGGGTGGAGGCAAGGACACACTCACACTGACACACCGCTACTCCTCCTTGTTTTGCCTCTGAGGACATAGATGTTAAGTAGCTAAGAGACCTGCCCTGGTTATCCAGCCACATGGGACGGACTCAGGGAGTTGGATTCTAGCATCTGGTTTTCACTCTGAAGTCCTACAGGCCTTGTGGCCTCGAAGGTGTTAGGAGATGGAGGCAACAGGAACCGAAGCACCTGATGGGGTTCACCCTGAGAGCGGCAGAACACAAGGGGGTCAAGGTGGAGCGGGAGGCTCCCCCTATCCTGAGTTCAGGATGGGGGGTGAGCATAATGGGCTCTCCATTTCTCGTTCTGAGCCTTTGTGGTGATGCTTTGTGAGGTCACAGTCAGTATTGCCCAGGTCTGGAGACCAGGGAACTTCTTCTGAGAACATTATTTTACTTTGCAGTCTTTCCCCTCCCCCTTTGTTGTCGGTGAATGGCCAGCATGGGACCCTCTGCACACATTCCTGTGCACAGATGTGGGAGCCACTTGGAGTGGGAACTCAGCTCTTTTTTTGCTCAGACTGGGAGCAAGTCACTGACTATCTGTAGTGGAAGGAGGGGGTCGAGGCACTGTTAGTGTCTCCACTGCTCAAGCCTGTGCCATCCCCACCCTGGCACACACTGAACACTGTCTCCTGCATGGTGTGTGCTGGAGTCATGGAGAGAGGACACCTACTCTGATTAGGCACTCTGTGGTGACAGGAGGCCAGGCCTCTTTCCAGGGATCGTTAGTTGGGGCCCTGCTGTGTCCCTGAAGGGGACTTTGCTCTCATTTGCTCTTGTATACCCATCTTCTTCCATAGGAGGACTTCCGGAACAAAGTGGACGACTACATCAAACGCTATGCCAGATGATAAGAGGAGACAGGTGATCGCAGGCCTGTGGACTGTGTCACAGTTGTGTCTGATGTGAAACAGCACGAGGTAGTCCTCCTCCCCATCCTCACACTCCCTGTCAGCCCCTTGGGATTGTCCCAGTCCTGCGACCATGTTGTCCTGAAGAAGATCATTCTCTTGGCTGCCCACTGTACGTGGTGAACGCAACACAATACAGCAAGAAAGTATGTCTGGGCCTTGAAAGAGTTGTCTGCTTCCCTTAACATGTTTACTCGAAACTCTACTGTCTAGGCTATTGGTGAAATTTCTCCGAAGTTGTAATGAACTCGCCATTGAGACTAGCGCTTACTTCCCTTTTCCCCAACAAAATCTGTGTGCTACACAGGTGATGTACTGACACCTTCCGTGTGACTGGCAGATTGGCAATAAGAAACCCACTGTGAACGGTGATTGGATGCACATCCTCTTAGCTTCTTCCACAGTGTTGGCCCTGCCCAGATGTGAAGCTTCCCAGAATGCATAGTCATTCACTGTAGATCTCACTGAAATGCATATTTTATTTAATGTAAGTATATTTTGGAACAGATTTGTAATTTGTACAATTTGATGCTTTAATTATTTTTTTCTATTCTCATTAGTTTGTATTTTCATTGTGTAGAGCAGACACAACACAAAGATGGGTCAGGCAGAGACTGTGAAGGACACATTACTCTGTCTCCAGATGCAGCAAGAATCTGGCTCCTAAACACCAGCTCCTGATGTCAGGTCCACATGTGGCAAGGCTGTTTTGGAGCCCTTAGCAGCTAGGTCTGAATGACAGAAACAAAATCCAGAGGCAGCGAGGCCGTCCTCATGTCGCCCAGAGGAAGTAGGCTGGGCCGGGGCCAGCCAGGCTTGGGGTTCCTTGTAGCTACAGCCTTGCTGTCCTGTGAGACCAGCGGTGCCTGGGGATCCCCTCAGTGTCTGGTGAGGCCACAGCTCTGGCCATCTGCTGATGGAGTAAGCCTGTAGACCTTGGCAGGGCAGGCAGCAGCACAAGCTGTGCTCGGCCAGGGTGGTGCCCTTCAAAGAGCCCTGATGAGAGGCAAGTGGGCTTGTTTCAGCTTCTGAGCCACTTCCACATTTGAACCAGTGAAATCAAATGCACAATAAAGTGCTGCCTGCCCTGCATTCAAGCTCAACTGCACATCTCTCCTGGGTTTAGTTTGCTTTTCTTGATTTATAGACTCTCTGGTTATGAGATCAGTTTATTTTGGAGATCCAGCAGGTACGTAGTATAGACCTTGCATCCCATTTGGCATCTAGAATTGTGCTAGTCAGACCCAAAGGTGGCCTCAGCCGGCATGCATCACATCTGAGTACAGAGAGCAGGAAGGATGGGGCCTTCCAGGGTGAGTGATGGCCTCTCGGTGGCTGGGGACTTGCCGAGGAGCCACAGCAATCTAGGTGCTGTGACTTACACTTCCCACTGCCATCCACCTGTCAGTACCCCTGGAGCCCAGCAGCTGTGTTTTCTACCTGATGCCAACTTCTGGCCTGAGTCATGGCATATCCTGTAGTAGCTGACCAAGGTGCCCAGCTGGCAGTGGCAGCGTCAAAGGTGGACTTCCTCACAAAAGTGTTTCTCTGGGGAAAATGATGCTAGTGGCTATCACTTAGGGGATGTGCTCAGGCGAATGACAGCATGCCTTGAACCTCACTGAGGGTGTGCTAACCTCAGCACACTGCACAGTAGCATTTTATTGGAGGTTAAGTAATCTGTGAAAGGACATGTACAGATAGCGACCCCAGTCTATTGAGTGGGAATCCTTCAGAAATCGCTCAATTTCACCCACCCCAGAAACACTTAGCCTCCCCTCACAGTGAGCAGCCAGACCTGATCTCCAGGCTTCTGTGCTTCTTGGATCTCTCCCCACTCTCTGGCCACAGCAACATTTCTGACTCTAATCCTTGTACCCACAGCCGACTTGTTAATAGCAGCTTTCTGATCTGCCTGGGGTAGAGGTCCCCAACTTGGAGAAAGAGGCCAGCCCTGCATAGCAGACAGTGGGGTGAGCAGACCATGAGGAAAGGAAGTCCTGGGCAGCTGGGGCACTGCTAAAGATCCAGGACCTCTGACTCCTGGGTCTTGGCTCTGCTACTTGGGCTTTGGTGTGTGTACTGCATGTTTTCGAGCACTTTAAGGAGGAGACACTTGCAGGGTGATTGCTCAGATCTCTGATTGCTCCTTAATCACAACTCACCTAGCACCTAGCAGATCACCTCTGATTTGTAATCCTTCTCGCTCTCCTTTTTTTTTTGGTCTTTGAGACAGGGTCTCCCTGTAACCCCAGCTGGCCTGAAACTCACTATGTAGACCAGGCTGGCCTTGAACTCCATGACTCTTCTGCCTTGGTCTCCCAAGTGCTAGGACTGCACTGAGGTACCACCACACCCAGCTCATACAAGGTTTTCACCTGATAATTTGGGAGCTCATGAGCAGATCCCAGGGAGCCATACATGGGTTGTGATTGACCTCACCTTTCTTCATGTCTGAGCACTGAGAACCTTAGTGGCCATTTTCTGCCAACTACAAAGTGAGCCAGGCATGGTCCTGGGAGAAAAGTCCCTGCTATATAGAAGAGTTTGTAGAAACTAAGGGAGCTTGTTCCCATGAACACTGCTGTTCTGACTTCACTGCCACTCACATCTGTAAAAGCTACAATGAAAAAGAGCTCTCAAAACAGCTGAGGATTGGTCACTTGTTTGATTTTCTTTCCCTATAAACTCCGTAGCACTGATTAACCTCTGCTAAGCAGAGCCTCCCTACCCCTTCATAAACTCCTGTGAAAAAGTACCAATAAGGGGCTGGTGAGATGACTCAGTGGGTAAAGGTGCTTGCTGCACAAACCTGGTAACTTGAATTTGATTCCTGGAACCCACATAAAGGTGGAAGGAAAGAATCAGGTCCACAGAGCTGTCCTCTAGCCTCCACACTTGTGTTATTGAACACACACACACACACACACACAGAAAAACACTGGGGCTGGAATGGTGGCTCAGCAGTAAAGAGCACTGGCTGCTCTTGCAGAGGACCCAGGTTCAATTCCCAGCATCCACATGGTGGCTAACAGCCTTTCGTAACTCCAGTTCCAGGGGATCCGACGCCCTCTTCTGACCTCTGCAGACATTGCACAAGGGTGCAGTTACATATGTGCAGGCCATACACTCGCATACATAAAATTAAAATAATAAAATATTTTTTAAAAGAAAACCACTGAAATCTGGCCAGTCGTCGCAGTCTCTGTACTTGCACCTCTCTCCCATTGTCTGCTCCAAGGTGGCTTTTCACCTTCATCCACTTTAGAGATTCAGATTCATCATTCTTCATAGAATGCCAGAGGAGAGGCTGGTGGTGAAAGCACTTGCTGTTGCATAGAACCTCGGTTCATTTGCTAGGACCAATATCAGATGATTCACAACTGCCTGGAACCAGCTCCAGGGGTTCTGATGCCCTCTTCTGGCCTCCAAGGGCATCTGCACATACGTGGTGCACATGATACACTCAGGCAGACACACACACATAATTTTTTGAATGTTTTTAAATGCTAAAAAAAGCCACATGTGATGATACACACCTTCAAAACCAGCACTTGGGAGGCAGAGGCAGGCAGATCTCATGAGATTGAGGCCAGCTGGGACTACTACCTTGTCACAAAAAAACAAAACAAGGGGCTGGAGAGATAACAGTTAAGAACACTGACTGCTCTTGCAGAAGACCCAGGTTTGAATTCCAGCATCCACATGGCAGCTAATAACATCCATAACTCCAGTTCCAGGGGATCCAACACCCTCTTCTGTCCTCTGGGGGTACTACGTGACATGGGTGCACTTACATATGTGCAGGCATAACGCACACATAAAAATAAGTAAAAATGTAAACAAAACAAAAATGCTGAAAGACAGATATTCTACCAATAATTCTTTTGCCAAAGAAGAGTGAAGAAGGAGAAAGCCTGGGACCTCTCGTGGCTCTGGCTCTAAACACTGACCAGCAAAAAGCTGGCACCGGAGTCATACTGCCTGTCTGTTTATTGAAAGAACTCTGGTTTGAAAAAAAAACAGGGAAGACACATTTGGAGGCTTGCGTTTGTTAAGAATGTGAATTTTACCTGTTGAATAGTATAAAGAACTGAATTGTTTCAAAAAAAAAAAAATCTCAGCTTTGGACTCATTAGCTCTCAGATTAATTGAGCTAGGGTTCTTGTAGTGAATTCTCTGGGGTTTTAGGTTGTCAGGACCAGTTAGGAACAACTATGCCCTCTGGGTACTGCTCCGAGTGCTGTGAACAGGGCCTTTTGCACAGCCCATCGCAGCATGTACTTTCCAGGTAGGTACCAGTACAGGACAGGGTGGGAAGCCATAGTGGCTTCAGTTCTCATTGAGCATTTGACCTGCACTTGACATCAGATATGCTTCCCCTGTCCTGACAACCAGTGGGACGCCTGGCAGACCTCACCTGTCTATATCTGTTGTATTTCTCCGTGTTCAGTTTTTTCTTTTTTTTGCCCCCTTGGTCTTTTTGAGACAAGTCGAGTGCTGAGACTAAAGATGTGTGCCACCATGCCTGTGTTTGATTTTTATCACAGTGTTTCAGCCTCATTGGATGGATGTAGCCACTCTTGACTCCATACAGTACATGATGCTGGGAGATTATTTGATATCAGGCTGGCCACTTGTATTATCAAACATCTCTTTAAAACAAAAAACAGGAAACCCAAGGTGTCCTTCCCTAACCACCATGGGAAACTGAAGATCCATTCTGGGGGCAACACTGTGGGTAAATAGCCATTTTGCCATTCTGCCTTTATCCTCACATTGGTCTCTGCAAAGATAGAACCTGTGTCCTTAGGAGGACTGGGGGCTTTTCCAGACCAGTAACAGTAGCAGTGGTGGACAAAGCCTGCCTGATATTGACGTCTTGGCAAAAGGTAGGAAGTTTCTAAAACATTCGACCACCCCACAGCTTCCCCTTGCCTCCAGAATAAGCCCCCTATGCCCAGCATACAGAGTCCATTGTGAGTGGGTCTGTCCACCCTGCCAGCCTCCCCAGGAACAGCTACCAAGGACCCTGGCCTCACAGTAGTGCCTTCATGCCCTGAGGTATCGTAACATCACCTCTGTTCTGCTGAGTCTCAGCTTTCCCCTTGGTCTCTGTCCCAGATGCAGTTCATGTGCTGTTAGAAACTGCCAGCTCTTCCAGGTAGACGGGCGCTTCTGAGGGCAAGTACTGTACTTGCCCTTATGTGTGTTCCTGCCTTTCCAGGAGCCAGTGAGCACCTGAGCTTTACCTTGGTCACGTGTAGTAACCAAGTAGCTTATATTAGTGTGCTCAGTGGGAGCACAGTGAGAATATGGAGGGTACCAGAGGCCGCTGCCGAGTTGTTGTCCAGAAGTTAGGTGCCCTGGCCAGCCCACCATGGCTGAGGAGATCTGCTGCCACTCAGGGAGCTAGTCTGGAAGATCTGGGCAGTTTGCTTGAGTAAAGAGTGCAAAAAATATTGCAAAAATATATATATATATATCCAGGAGACTCAGAATTGTTGGTAGATATGAATTGATGTGACATGTAAGGTGGAAGACTCAAGGGGATGT